GAGTTACTCCTGAGTAGGTATATTTGGGATTGTGTTGTTAGATACCATGTACCAGTTAGATATCAGTATCATGTCACTTCAACTGGTAAGATTTTTTTTAACTTTCTGATAATTTTAGGGTAATTGTATGGGTTATCTTTTGATAAAAACCAGTAGCTTTTTTTCCTTCTTTCAGTTTAGGTATATATCATCGTCTGCATGGAAAGTAACCTTCTCATCTATTTAATATAATTTGTATGTGACGGTAGTTACTGTTTAAGGATAGATTTTTCTGGCTTTAAACTATTCTTATCTCAGTCTTATGACTTGCTGTCAAGTATCTAAATTATACTATCAACTTACCCCAACCAATAATAATATGACAGAATACAATCCAAGATAATGATTTCCACGTTGGGAATGCAGGCTCCAGCTGAACTTTATCCATAACGTGCCAGTTCTCTATGAGTAGTTCTCTCAAGGAGTAGTTCAGTAGTGGAAGGAACATACATGCAATGGTCTAGAGCAATGTTTTTCAAACACAGCAACTTTAAGATCTCTAGAGTTAAAGTCCCACATCTTAAAGTTGCCAGAGAAATAAGTACCATTTTTTTTTTGTTTCATAACTGTCCCAGTTAACTGTTGTCTCTTAATTAAGTTTATATGGTTAGTGGCATATAAGTGCTTTGAAAATCAGAGGATGTTAAGTACCTTATTTCTCAACCCAAAGTAGATGAAAGGAAGTTTGATCAAGATTGCAGTAATTACTGATTTTTAAATAACAACATCAAAAATGAAATATAAAGAAATGCCAAATAGTCTGGCTTGACACTGTGCCTAAGAGAAGTGCTAATTACAAAGAACAACCAAGACATTGTAAAATAATAATAATACTTGGCAGGGTGGAGCAGGATGTGCCTGTGGATTGCTTCTCTAGAAAGAATGAATTGCTATAATGGCAATTGTCAAAGTGACATCCTTAAAGAGAAATATTCAGTCAAGGCTGTTTAAAAAGTTCAGAGATGCCACAGGAACGGTTGTGCCTGTAAGCTCTTGCAAACATGCTTAGGTCTGTCAGTTTAGTAGCTAGCATTAAAAGTAATCCAGCAAAAGTATTCTTGTCTGCTAGAGGATGAAAATGCTAGCAAGAATACCACATTATCAAGTGAAGATGAAATACATACATAGTTATATATAGTTTTTTTTAATAAATGGCCAGAATTTATTCCAAAATTAACTTTGTCCATTTGTGATGTTCCTGGATTCTAGAATATGTATTTTCTGGCGGGATCATCATCATCAGTTTTAGTAAAATCTTATAGGTGTCATATGACATGGAGAACTTAACTTCAAGATTAAAGAACAGAAAAACTCAGAACCAATCAGAATAGTGCTATGTATTTCTTGTTCTCATCTTACTCTTGTTTAGACTGCTTGACAGAAAGATTCAAGAGTGCTTTAGTCTACTGCGTAAGACACATATGCCATTAATCATATAGAGCATATCTATATCTATCACGTTTTTATCCTGCACATTCTGAGATGTCCAAGACAACTTACATGGGTTAATTGTGCTTTACTTTCACAATAATCTTAGGAGATAGCTTCGGCTCTGACTATCATCACTCTGATGGTATCCTATAAATCCTAGTGCATGAACTAAGACATTGTTTTCACAAGCTTAGTTCCACAAATAATTTCTCTATGCTGATTTTGTTATATAGTTAGTCAGTGTAGTGCTTGTGCAACACTATATACTGCAGAAAAAGCAGGGGCTTAATTACTGGCTTATAATCACTTAACTAAAACCAAAATTCCTTAATCAAGGAAAATAATTAACAATCCTTGATCCTAATCAGGAATAGTGCTCATCAGGTTACTTGCACATATCGGCATTGGATAGACATATGCTGAGCCAGGTATAGCTAAAATGACCATGAAAAACATTAGAAAAAGGTGCTGCACACCAGAGCACAAATACTGTAGAGCTGTTCTCTTTATATCCTTAAATCAACCCTATCTTTTTGCAAAGTTCATGCAGCTGATTTGAATTCTGCTTCCTGAGAGCTGCTTCCTGACGTGCATGTGCACATAGAGCCATTTCACAAAAAAAATGCTTTGTGCAACCCTAATACTTACACAAGTAACCCTCAGGTTAGGATCATTTATTTGACTGTTCAGTATTACGATGGCAGTGAAGGGAATTATGACCAGTCCTCAAAAGTTCCAGCACCCCCATAGTCATGTAAACAACATTTAGGTGCTTAGCAACCCATTTGCACTAATGACTGGTTGCAGCATCCCGTGGTCACATAATCTTGGACCTTCCTGCCAGCTTCCCACAAATAAAGTCAATGCAGAAGTTGGCAGTGAAGATCACAAGTCACTTGAATAAATCTTCCCTCGCCTGACCTTTCTTCACTTGCATGCACCTGTATCCAGTGATGGGTTTCAAATATGTGAACAACCAGTTCTCTGTGGATGCCGCTTCTGGAAGTCCATTCTGGGCCTGGGCAACAAAAAATTAGCTACCAGTTCTGCCGAAGTGGTGCGAACTGGCCGAATCCCACCACTGTCTGTACCCTCTTTTCTCAGCCTCCCTGCATTCGCATGCATGCATTCATCAGTACCCCTTTTTCCCTGGACCTCTCTGTGCTCGCACACTAAACACCCTCCATACCCCATTTCCCTGGTCTCCTTGTGCTCACACACATACATGTGCCCTGTACCCTATTTCCCCTGTCTCCTTGTGCTCATATACACACACCCTGCACCCTCTTTCCCTGGCCTCCCTGCAGTCATATACATGCATGTACCCATCCTGCACACTTTCCACTGCCTCCCTGAGCATTTGCCACACTTTAAGCGCCATCACCCCCCAACTCACGTGTGGCCTGCATAGGGCTCCACTTCCCTGCAGTATCCCCCAGCTCCTTACCTGGAACTCTCTTTGCTTTCCACTTAACAACCCACATATTTTGGGGTTACCACACCAATTGGGACTGCCTGAATTGCCCTCACTAAGCAATGCATTCACGTGACATCAAGTTTTATGACCACATAACTTAGCGATGACAATCCCAATCCCAATTACCATCATAACTCAAGGACAACCTGTACACATCTCAGGAATAATGGAAAAGGGAAGCAAGTATTTATAAATGGCTATTTTTAATTTATTGGTTATTCAAATACTTTCTACTGTGTTTACCACAACCTGTAGTTAACCCTAAAATATGTATCAGGCTACCTCATCTGCCTATTGAGTAATTTATCTGATGACCAGGAAGCAACAGTTATAGAAATACAGAGCAACTAAATGGTTCAAAATTGGTAGACGAGGGTGTCAACATTAATTAATGTGTTTATTTATCATATTTATATCTTATTACAACTGTACATAGACTCCCAGCAGTACAATAACAATAACAATGACAATTTTATACAATAAAACTAACAGAATAGATAAACCTAGCCTCTAAAAGACATTTGCTGATTAAGAAGCAGTACTAGCAAGTCCTGTTATCCCTATTCAGGCACTGGCAAAGGCATCAGCCAATGTTACAAATGCTATCACTGTCCTTTATCCTGAACTCTGAGCGATAAGGTCTAGATAATTCATTCTAGGGTGCCCCAAATTGGTCCTCAATCACTGTCACCACAACCTTTACCTTTACACAACTAAGGTAAGATTGAAGACCGGATAGTAATTGTCCAACACCTGTAGAACCTGGAAGGGTCCTTTCAAGAAGGGACAAGCCAACACTTCTTTCACAGTGGAAGGCAACACGTTCTCACACAAGGCATTCACAACCTCCTGGATCCACAGGATAAAATTGCCCCTCCCGACTACTCATTGAAAGCAGTTCATGAACAATAGTAAGCCAAAACTCAAATATTTTGAACACATAAAAGGCAAAGTCATTGGAAGAGCCTGATGCTTGAAAAAAAAAGGGAAGGCAATCAGAAAGAGACGACAGAAAACCAGATGGCTAGATACTATCAGGGATGAAATATGAGTTTACAAGAACCTAGAGAAGCAGCTATTGACAGATAGTCTTGGTGAAATGATGTTCACTGGCTCACAAAAAGTTGAAACTGACTGAATAGCGATTCCATCAGAGCAGTACTTTCATCCGTAAGAGGCAGTGCGGTCCTGAAAAACATGTTCAGCTAGCTGATTTCAGCTGCATTGAAAGTTATATTGAATAAGATGACATCTTGTGTGCACCTTCAAATTCTTTTTCATATTCCAAAAGGGTAGATGACTCCTGGGACAGCACAGGAATTTAAGGGTGTCGGTGGACTTGGTAATGGTTCCGAGATCAGATTTAGATAGATTTGCATATCCTGACATATCCAAGTTTATTGTATTCAAGCAGTATAGAGATAGATCGTAATTTTCTGAACAGCTAAATATTTCTAACATGTTCTTTATTTTCTTGAAAAAGAAAGTATGCCTTAAAATGAGGCGATCACTTCACACCTCTTCCCTTTTTCAAATATAAAGCACCAAAGAGAATTGTTCTATTAAAAGAAGCCTGTCAAACAGAGCCTGGAACCTCTCCATTAGTACCACTCTTTTTCTTCCCTAAAATGGTTTAAGCACACGTTACCTAGAAGTTCTTTAATTTCTAAAATAAGCATGCAGAAAAATGATTGGACAAAGGGGAAAGTTAGTTCTGAGGAGAAAAAATGTGGGTGTTCTTCTACCTGCTTATGTTACTGCGGAATCCTCTTAAAAAGCCAACAGGTAGAATGTCTACCTCACTCAGTCTCATCATTATTGCTATTTTGCCTATTAATTTTAGACAAACTTATTTGTTGGAAATAATTACATGAATCTGTTTTACAGTTTGCACCATATGTCTAAGAACTGGTGAGCTCCTAATTTGTTTCAAATTAAGTGTTTTGTTCATTAGTCCTTTTGTAATGTAAATATCTATATTTCTGTTTTTGTCTTTAGGTAGCAAGTAGGGTATGTGATTTTTCTGAATTCTGTAATTCATTCATTCTTTCAGGACGTCAGCGAATCAGTCAGCTAGCAGAAAATACGAGGTACTTCAGAAGAAGATTACGTGAATTAGGATTCATTATTTATGGCAATGACGATTCTCCAGTTGTGCCTTTACTTCTTTATTTACCTGGTAAAGTTGGGTAAGTTAATTCCTGCTTCACAAAAAACTGTACAAAATTTTCAGAATATAATTGTTAAACTCAGGTTTCATTTTGCAATTATTTTTAAAAGCTGTTAAGAGGAACGTAGGTAGTCACCCTTAACAAACTGGGGCTTTTCCCTCCCCTCCTTCCATGCAATCTTGTGAGGAAGAATAGGCTGCAAGTTCTCTTTGTTATGTTATTTCAGCAGTGGGTAAACTCTCACTTGTTATGTGATTAAAAATAATGAATAACCTTCAGCCAGAATAAGAGTCTCATCCTAATGGGGACAAATTTCCCAAAAAAGGACAGGCCTTTTTTTTACTAAGCTTATCAGTAGCCTTTTAAAGATTTACACGGTGTAAGAGTATATATGCTCAGGAATTTGGCACATCAATAAAGTTACACCCAAGGAAGTGGGAGATGGCAGGGGGAGAAGGAGATGATAGATAGATAGATAGATAGATAGATAGATAGATAGATAGATAGATAGATAGATAGATAGATAGATAGATAGACAGACAGACAGACAGACAGACAGACAGACAGACAGACAGATGATAGCAGGGGAGAAGGGGAGAGAGAGAGAGAGAGAGAGAGAGAGAGAGAGAGAGAGATAAGATGGGACAGACAGACAGATGATAGTGTAATCTAGCTTCCAATTTGGTGCATTTGTTAAAGGATCCTTTGGAGAGGATTCAAAAATGATTAATTAACTGCATATGGAAGCCACAATTAGACAATTTAATTAAAACCTATCTGGTTTGCTAAAAGCAAGCACAGAGAAGGAAAGCGAGACCTGAAGCCCCTTATTGTTTATTCATATGCCACTGAATTGTTAAAGTATACTAAATGTACCAAATAAATGTTTTTGAATGTCCTTATCATACATTCACAGTAACCTACTGTAAGGAAGAACTAACCGTAGCTGTAATACTGTTGGAAGGATTTTTTTAAATTAACATTGATTCTTATACCATCAGAATATGTATATGTTTTTGGTATTATTTTGCAATTCTTATTCTTTGTTCTTTTAAATATAATGCCGTTTTAAGAAAATTAGCTCTGTTTCACCTTGTTTCTTTACTCAGGACTTTTGTGAGACTCATGTTATCCAAAAACATTGGTGTGGTTGTGGTTGGCTTCCCAGCTACCCCAATCACAGAATCCAGGGCTCGGTTTTGTGTGTCCACTGTTCATACACGGGAGATGCTAGACACGGTAAGCACAGAGATAGACTTACAAAGCGAACTTCACTTCCTGGATGGACTTGGGAGAAGCCTCACTAGATTTCTCTTCTTTGTTGTAATTTTGCCTTCCTTGTTTAAGCTTCATTTGACCACAGAGCCTTTGGAGCTTTTAAGTTAGATAATTAGAAACATCAGAACACACTGCTGCTAAAAAGATAGGAAGTATAGATTAAGCAGTGTATTTTATTGAACCTGCTTGTATTAGGCTTTGAGTTTTTATAGAATTCTTAAATTGTCAAAGTGGAAAGGGAGCAGAATTATAAACATATATATGTATATATAATTTTATGAATGATGGGAGCCACACCCTTTAGAAATCCTGAAATCCTGTTAAGATAGATATTCACAACATTATGGACAATTGATAAAAATACAATGCTAGAGACATTCAGGACCTGTTCTCTGCAGTAATTTGAAAATAAAACCCTGAATTTTATGCTGTGAATTAATCCTAAAATTAATAGGAATTACCTCACTTGGCTACTAGTTTTGTGTGGAAGGCAAGCACATACTTTGGCCACAAAAAAGGATTTGTAAGTTTTAAAAAATCGGTATTATAACCATATAATTCTTCCAAAGTGTTTGGACACAGTATGGCTGTTTCCTTTTTCTTATTTCTTCTTTTGCTTTTTCATACTTCCATTGTATTTAAACCTTCTAATAAAATCTTTTTTTATTAAAATGAACACTGTTGAGCTATGACATGGACTTAACTTAATTCGAAATATCCCAGCCATCATTATTCCCTTCCTAAAATGGAAAGATATAAGAAGAGTTTTCTCATCTCTATCAAATATCTGTATATTGAGGGAGACATCCACAAGAATTCCTGGATATGCTTTCCTCCTGTCTCTTAAGTAAAAAAGAAAGTGTCCATGAACCAACATTTTAAAAAGAAGGTCACCAAAAATGTATTTTTATTTTTTAAAAATTAATGCTACAGCCATATAACATTTTAAAGAAAAAACTGATGTTTGTATTCCTTTAGGATTACAGAACCTTAATAAAAGTCACTTTTTAAACCACTATTCCCCCGGTAGTCTTTTAACAGTATGGCAGGTAAAATGATTCCATCAACTAGGCCAGACTTCCCTTCCCTTCCTGTCCATCTTTCTTTCCTTTGATGATGATGATGATAAAGTTGGAAGGGACTTTGGAGGTCATCTAGTCCAACCCCCTGCTCAGGCAGGAAACCCTATACCATTTCGGACAAATGGCTGTCCAGTCTCTTCTTAAAAACTTCCAGTGTTGGCGCATTCACCGCTTCTGGAGGCAGGTTGTTCCACTGGTTAATTGTTCTAACTGTCAGGAAGTTTCTCCTTAATTCTAGGTTGCTTCTCTCTTGATTAGTTTCCACCCGTTGCTCCTTGTCCTGCCTTCAGGCGCTTTGGAAAATAGCTTGACTTCCTCTTCTTTGTGGCAGCCCCTGAGATATTGGAACACTGCTATCATGTCCCCCCTTACTTTGTCTCTACTTACTTTCTCATGAGTGCTATAGAAACTATTTGGCCTCATGGGAGATGATGGTTGAACTTTCATAAGACCAATGTCCTCATGCAACCTAAAGAACAAAAAGAAAAATAAAACACTGTGCTGGCAAGATTCTATCTGCTATGGTGGCCAGAGTAAAAATGGCTAGTGGGGAACAGAATCCTACATCCTGGAAGGAAAGCACCAATCCTGTAGGAAGCCAGGTGGACCCAAGCAAGGGTGCTGATCCTCCAGTGCTCCTCCTCCTTGCAATATAGAACGTCCATAAAAAGTTTCCGTGTGGAAAATACCACGTCCCTATTAGATGACCTTTTTCCAGATTCAGCCTACCTTGGCTATAGCTTAGCAATATGGTGGAAGGTTCACTGTATGGAAAAATCCTCAATAACTCAATAAGCCATCTTCAAGATGGCGCAAGGAATGCAGGGATGTACGTAGTATCGCCACGTACTTTGACTTATAATGGTACAGTACTGTAATATTTTTTTTCAGATGTATTTAATTTAGTTTAATACTAATGTTAAACACATACTCATGTGCAATGTTTCTTCCCCCCAAACATGTTAATGCTGCTTAAAAGGCAGGTAAAGAAAAAGTTATGAAATTAGTATACCCACACAAAGAGTATGCTGAATACGTGTTGTGCCCCTACGGGGTCCTTAGTACCCTTTTCAAAACGATGCCTTTTCATCGAGATCAGAACCAGGCAAAATTCTAGTAACCCAGGGGAGCTTGTTAGACCTCATCAAGCAGCTCTCAGAAACCACAAGAAACTTGCAAATACATAATTTCTGTAGAACTTTCTGGAAAAAAAAATTGAATGAATTATTCATAGCAGTTCAACGTTAAATGCCGTACTAGAAACAGGCATGACTTTTTGTGTCTTTTTAAAAAATGCTGAGCCATGTCTTTCTAATATATTGAAATTGGATTTCAGGTCCTGAACGCTCTAGATGAACTGGGTGATTTTTTGTGTCTGAAATATTCCCGGCATGCTAGGTCATCTCGTCCTGAACTGTATGATGAAACAAGCTTTGAACTTGAAGATTAAGTTTCCCTCCCATTACAGAGAAACCGTCATGATGTTACAAGGAGGAGATGGGGATCTCAACAAGAGGAATGCATTTCTGTTTTCCCAAGGATGGTTTTTGCTTCACAGTTAAAGTGATCCAAGAGAAGCATTTTATGTCTGTTTTTACCAGATCGGATCCTGTCTGCAAAAGGACTAGAACATTGTTGCGGTTCTCTCACCAGGAAATACAAGTATTATTGTTATTGTTCTTATTATTAGACACCCTCCAAAGACTTTAACTGCTAAATCAGTTGCTATTACACAGCTCTTGTTGCTGTTTTAGGAGCAGAGTTTGGAAAAATTTAATTATGATAACACTTTTTAAAGTGAATTGGAATATCATATAATAGCTGAAAAAAAAGTTATCTTGTTAAATTGGCTCTTCTTTATAGAAGAGGCATATCTCCGTTGCAGCTTACCAGGATTTAGGCAAAAAAAAATATCCATCAAGTAGAAATACTTTGACATACTGAGTAAAGAGGAACCTGATTCAGGGGTAGTCAATGGTCTTTCATGGTTTTGGGTAACTTTAAGTATTATTGTTAGAAAGTTTTGAGTAAAGAAAAAAAACCAATTCATCTTTGCTGCTTGGTATTTTTAAAAAATCTTTTTATATTTCAATTGATAACCAAGGATAAGCCAAAAACAATGTTAATTCAGATTCAACATTGTTGAATTGTTTGAATTATTTCATAATTTAAAGGAGGATTACTTATTTAATTTTCAGGTAGGTTTTTAGAGTTGTCACACACAGTTTTAATAACCATTTCACTTTTTCCTATTTGCAATGTGTTAAGCTTTTGAATATGAAAAAAAGCAGATGTCATTTGTAAGACTTCTTTCTCCAAGAATATTTGTTTGCCCCGTAAACATACTGCTGAATCAAAATACTCAGGCTATTACAGAATATCCTCCTCAAAAGATCTTACCATTTGTGACTGACATCTTCAAGCTGAAAGAACTAGCCCATTTTACTTTATTACTTCAGTGAGATATGCTTAATAAAGGAGACCACAGTGAATGCTCTTTTCTGAAAGGTTGATATATCCATCTTTTTCTTGAGGTTAAAATTATTAACTGCTCTTAAAACATAACCAGCTGATTTGAAAACAGCATTTGGAGATTAAAGGAACAAGCAGATATAATTCCATTTCTGTTTCACCAAATGAATAAGACCAAGACTAATGAGAATATACCACTGTCTTCAGACTGTGGTCCAGCCTCAACAATTAAGGTCTCGGATAGCTATATGCACACACATACTCTAAGATAACTGGTTGAAAGGCATTTCTATCACTTTTGAGAGAGATACAAACCATCCTGAAAGTCTCACCGTACTGTAAACATGTCTGATGAAGAGATGGCTTAGCTTTCTGTGTCACAGATGTATTTCACTTTCATGTTCTTGAAAAGCTGTGGCATCCACTTAACACACAGCTGCAAAATTAGATTTAAGAACTGAACAATTAAATTGTGGAATACCAATTACAGTATGGGATTCCCGTGCTTGTTAAAGCAGCTTTGAGGATAAAACGAGGCTAGATTTGAGGTCCCTTTTTGTTATTCAGTTTAATAAAACTCAATAAAATATAATGTTAAAAATGGACCACTGTGCATTCCAGAATATCGGGTCTCCGCTTCAGAAGTATAGGAGGGCAAAAGGAGTGAATTGTACAGTGTTGTATGATTGTTCACGTTGGCGAATGAACTTGAGAAACACTAAACGGGCCCATGTTTGTGCATTATACTAAAACTACTGTATAAAAATAAAGGATGTTTTTGTGTGTTTTTTAAAATATTTGAAATTGGTTCATTTCTTGGTCATAAAAAAAAAATTGGCACAATGACTCAGGAACAATCTGCCCCTGATGAATGGCCATATGTTACAAAGAAACTGTGTTTTACAAGTGTTACAAAATTTTCAGAAGTCCCTGTTCCCAGTGTCTTTTCCTCCATAATTCTCTTCAACCACTAGCAATTGCTTTTGCCTGTTTCACTGTATTTCTATGCTTGGAACAGTCTACTAAGAGCAGATGCTGGAAAGAGCAAGCTGCTCTGATCATGATCAAAGAAAGCAGGACTCTGCCTTAATGCAGTACATAGTTACGCTGCCTGAAGCAGAAGAAATGTGTGTTGAATGAATTCTGAAGTTTGTTGTTAAAGCCGTCTTGATTTTTTTTGTTCCCATGTGCAGTATGGCCATTCACGTGATAACTATAATGGTGAACTTAAAGAAAAGCAGTCATCTTATCTGGTTTTGCTGTTTTCACCTTAATTTCTCCTGACTTGCGCTAATTTTCACATCTGTAATTTAACAGCAGAATCAAATGTTCCTTGCTACATCTGGAAATTAGCACATAGGACAGCTTCTTCTGCTTGTAACCGCAATCTAGTTTTCTGAGCTATTGAAAGCACTAAAGGGGTTCTACAAATGCAGTGACTTCATTTTTTTTTCTCTTTGCTTGAGTTAACATATTCAAAAGTGGAAATCAATGTATTTTGCCCGATAAGACCACCAAGAACAAGGGGGGGGGGGAAATCACACAAAAGAAAATCTGCCTCTTTATCATGATTTTCAGTAGCATGGTCTCAAGAGGACTAGAGAGCCATAAATAAGAGTGCAGAGGAGTGGTGGGATTCAAATATGTGAACAACCGGTTCTCTGTGTGGATGCCGCTTCCGGAAGTCCATTCTGGGCCTGGGTTACAAAAAGTTAGCTACCGGTTCTGCCGAAGTGGTGCGAACCGGTTGAACCCCACCACTGGTGCAGAGAATTATAGATGGGTCCCCATCCTGATCACAGGGTGACATGAAAGATGGTACTGATACAGAGATGGATGGACAGATCAGTTATATTATTCCAACATCAAATTATATGAACTACTATCTTAAAAAAAAAATCTCTTCTTCCAGGATAAAGAAATCTATCAAGGCCATCTGAAATGCACTGTGAGGATTTTGGCCAACCTCCCTAAAATCTTTTACTTTGCTTCTTGGCTCCAATGTTTTGGAAGCAGGGAAATAATATTTAAAATGTCAAAATACAGCAATTATAAAATCAGATCAAAAGAGCATTATTTGGTGCAAAAGAAGAAAACTGGCCAGAAAACCTATTGGGGGAAATTAATGATTGGCCATAGCTAAGAAATTTCTCTGTCTAGAGCACACTTGTCTCATTTAGGATAACAGAGGAGGACCATAATTGTTAAACCAAAGCAGTTTCAGCAGACGAGAACTATTAAGGACAAGAGTCCAGTGCTCAGAGTTTTAATATTTGTCTAACACAGTGTTTCTCAACCTTGACAATTTTAAGGCATGTGGACTTCAACTCCCAGAATTCCACAGCCAGCATTGCTGGCTGTGGAATTCTGGGAGTTGAAGTCCACATGCCTTAAAATTGTCAAGGTTGAGAAACACTGGTCACTCTAACAGTTTCCGAAGCTGGAAACGAAGATCTCTGTTTAATATACTTGGACCCTAAAAGGTGCCAAGTTTTCATAGGGATTACAAACACTCCACAGAAGTTCAAGAAGAGCAATATTTTTAAAAATAAAACTCCATAAAAATAAATATATTAAAATGAAAGTCCAATGAAACTGCTTATAAAAACCCGATGGGCCAAAGCTGCACGTTATAAGACATCTACAAAATGATTCAGAAATATATATTGCAGAGGAATTGTCGGTGAAAATGACAGAATTTTCAAAAATTGAAAAACTGACTTGTATTAATTAGGGAAGAAGCAACAGGTATTTTTATTTGTGACTGGAAATCCTTTATGGCTGAAAATGGGGGGGGAAACAAAACTGGTGATTCAAATCAAATCGAAGACGGGGTACAAACAAGTAATTTTTAAAGTGCTAAAAATATTAAAAGGATATATAAAAACGAGTCCCAAAAAATCTACAGGGAGTGGTAAGAATATTAGATGGATATAGAGGAGCATAAAAGTATATGGAAACTAAATCCATCAAAGTACAAAGACTAGTTTGTAGTAGCACAGGTTATCCTCATCTTAAGTGATGCTGCACCAGAACCTGTCAATATATTGTACCAAGACTGAATGTCTGCAAGCAACACGGGGTGTAGAATTGTCCTGGGCACCCCAGGTACTTATACAGTAATGGTAAAATGAGACTAGTACAAATGTATTGGAGGAATACGTGTTCTGTTGTTTCTAGGCATATAGAATCTCTCCAAGTAGGACATTTTCCTGTATCGGCCTTACATCTCATTCTGGCAGGTCTAGATCGAAAATGAATGAATGAAACCCATTTAATAGCAGTTAGCAGTCCAGGTTTCCTAAATCAGTATGGTGGCATGGTGGGAGAGGACGTCAATAACATTCTAGGTTAGAAGTGTGACTGGTCACTTGGGTGTCAAGCAGATGCACTGTGAGCCAGCAGCTGGGTGGGTAATTTTTGTAGTGGCACATGTTCTTTGCGCACATGTTCCAGCTCTACCTTCTCTGCCATCTGTTTGTCTGTCAAGACTCCCTTCTTGTGAATGGGCAGGAGAGTTTGTAGTTTTGGCAAAGCGACCAGAAAAAAATCAGAACATCACGGACAGCAAAATGTGAGTCATTGGCAAGCAGGGACCCCAACCCTTTAGCAAGGGGAGCATTCTCTGGCTTGCCCAGTGAGAGAAGAGACGGGTCAATCTGTTTATTCTGAGAGTTGGGTTCCCATAGAGCCAAGAGAGGCTCCTGAATTTTGGGAGCAGATGAAGATGTATCTCCAGTTGGGTTTGTGTGATGGAATGCAGTCTGAATTCCCAGGAGGGAGGGAGGGCATTCCAGAGGAATAAGAGGCAGCTCAGTTCAGATAATTTGTGTGAAAGAAAACAGGTGATGGCAGTTCTCAGATTATATGCTCCCTATAGATTGCAGGGTGCTTCTGTTCAGCAAGATTCTGTCTATCAGTGTGGAACAATAAATAAATCTACTTGGAAGAATCCCCATGTGTCTTTCTCGGTTTGGGGAGCCTGACAGTTTCTGTAGTTCTTGGCTGAGGATTGTTTTGTTTGCAAGGCAGTTTCTTTAGGGTATTCCTGGATATTGCTGGAGTGAAGATCTCAAGAGAAATCATTGTCAGTACAACTATCCTTGTCACTGGTGAAGAACGCAGAG